AGGATTAATGTCGGTCTTAAGTAATTAACTTTAGATGGTAATCTAGCCTAATCTTATAACGATAGATATGTGCAACGTTGTGCTCAAACCGTATATTAATTCTGATTCCTCATGTTAACCCACCAACCAATCAATCAATCATCAACTAATCGACGATGTGCAGCGGTCAAGTCGATCCGCAAGCAACAGCTCGTTGAGGTGCGAACCATGGCTAATCCGCCGTCGGTGGTCAAATTGGCTCTCGAATCGATCTGCCTGCTGCTGGGCGAAAATGCGACCGATTGGAAATCGATCCGTGCCGTGATCATGCGCGAAAATTTCATAAATTCAATTGTATCTAACTTCGGTACCGAGAACATAACGTAAGCATGAACAAATTTTTACCAACACCCATTTTGTTCTCGAATTTAATTCCTGTTGTTGTTATTGTTGATGTTTTTGATGTTATACTATCGTTCTGAGTGTAGAAATTGGTTTTCATTTGAGTTGATTTTGTTATTACTTTTTTTGTAGTTTTAGTTTGAATTGTTCAAGCGAGCTGCCTTATGGTTTGTAAATATTTAAACTTTCTAATCAATTAACTGAACTTTACTCTAATTTTGGTTATTGGCTCTAACTTTTGTTGAATTCTCTTTGGTTTTTGGTCAAATTTATCGCTGTTTCATAGTAATACGACTGCTTTGCTTGCTTAATTCATTCAAATAACTTACTAAATAAAGGCTACGACGGATAACTAATAAAATTATATTAAAACAGCGATGATGTTCGCGAGAAAATGAAGTCCAAGTATCTGAGTAATCCGGACTATAACTTCGAGAAGGTCAATCGTGCTAGTATGGCTTGTGGTCCTATGGTTAAATGGGCCATTGCTCAGGTAAGACTGAATAAAATATCTGTTAGTTAGTTCTGGAAATCTTATAATTATTTTTCAATCCAGATCGAGTACGCTGATATGTTGAAGCGTGTGGAGCCATTGCGTGAGGAGTTGCGATCTCTGGAGGAACAGGCTGATGTTAACCTGGCCAGTGCCAAGGAAACCAAGGACTTGGTAGAACAACTGGAGCGCAGTATTGCTGCTTACAAGGAGGAGTATGCCCAGCTGATATCCCAGGCTCAGGCCATCAAAACAGATTTGGAGAATGTCCAGGCCAAGGTCGATCGCTCCATTGCTTTGCTTAAGAGTTTGAACATTGAACGCGAGCGCTGGGAGTCCACTAGCGAGACTTTCAAGTCACAGATGTCCACCATTGTGGGCGATGTGCTGCTCTCCGCGGCCTTCATCGCCTATGGTGGTTACTTTGATCAGCATTATCGGTTGAACTTGTTCACCACCTGGTCACAGCATCTGCAGGCGGCCAGCATTCAGTACCGCGCGGATATCGCTCGTACTGAATATCTTTCCAATCCCGATGAGCGACTCCGCTGGCAAGCAAATGCCCTGCCCACGGATGATCTGTGCACGGAGAACGCGATTATGTTGAAGCGCTTCAACCGTTATCCGCTGATCATTGATCCTTCGGGTCAAGCAACCACTTTCCTGCTCAATGAATATGCAGGCAAGAAGATCACTAAGACCTCGTTCTTGGATGATTCGTTCCGCAAGAATCTTGAGTCCGCTTTGCGTTTCGGTAATCCCCTGCTGGTGCAGGATGTGGAGAACTACGATCCTATTCTGAACCCGGTGCTGAACCGCGAGCTGCGTCGCACTGGAGGTCGTGTGCTGATCACCCTCGGCGACCAGGACATTGATCTGTCACCGTCCTTCGTTATCTTCTTGTCTACGCGCGACCCTACTGTGGAATTCCCTCCGGACATTTGCTCTAGGGTGACATTCGTGAACTTTACTGTGACCCGCAGCTCCCTGCAGTCACAGTGCCTTAACCAAGTGCTGAAGGCTGAACGTCCGGATATCGATGAGAAGCGCTCTGATTTGCTGAAGCTGCAGGGCGAGTTCCGTCTGCGATTGCGCCAGTTGGAGAAGAGTCTGTTGCAGGCGCTTAATGATGCCAAGGGCAAGATCCTGGATGACGATTCGGTGATTACAACGTTGGAAACTCTCAAGAAGGAGGCCTACGATATAAACCAGAAGGTGGATGAAACAGACAAGGTTATAGCCGAAATCGAGACGGTGTCGCAGCAGTATCTACCACTCTCTGTGGCATGCAGTAACATCTACTTCACCATGGACAGCCTGAACCAGGTGCACTTCCTCTATCAGTACTCGCTTAAGATGTTCCTCGATATCTTCTCCACGGTCCTGTATAATAATACCAAGCTGGAGGGCAGAACCGATCACTCAGAGCGCCTGGGTATAGTGACCAGGGATCTGTTCCAAGTGTGCTATGAGCGAGTGGCAAGGGGAATGATTCACAACGATCGTTTGACCTTTGCCTTGCTCATGTGCAAGATCCATCTGAAGGGCACCTCGGAGTCTAATCTGGATGCGGAGTTCAACTTCTTCCTGCGCAGCCGAGAGGGTCTGCTTGCCAATCCCACTCCCGTGGAAGGACTTTCCGCCGAGCAGATTGAAAGCGTCAACCGTCTGGCTGCTCGCCTTCCCATCTTCCGCAAACTTCTGGAGAAGGTGCGATCTATTCCCGAACTTGGTGCTTGGTTGCAGCAAAGCTCGCCGGAACAGGTTGTTCCTCAGCTCTGGGACGAATCCAAGGCACTCAGCCCAATTGCCAGCTCTGTGCATCAGCTGCTGTTGATCCAGGCTTTCCGACCGGATCGTGTCATTGCCGCTGCTCACAATGTGGTCAACACTGTACTCGGAGAAGACTTTATGCCCAATGCCGAGCAGGAACTGGACTTCGCCAACGTGGTGGATAAGCAGTTGAACTGCAACACACCAGCTCTTCTGTGCTCGGTGCCTGGTTTCGATGCCTCTGGACGTGTGGATGATCTGGCTGCGGAACAGAACAAGCAGATTTCCAGCATTGCTATCGGTTCCGCCGAAGGCTTCAACCAAGCTGAGAGGGCTATTAACATGGCCTGTAAGACTGGTCGCTGGGTGCTCCTCAAGAACGTGCACTTGGCTCCTCAATGGCTTGTGCAGCTTGAGAAGAAAATGCATTCGCTGCAGCCTCACTCCGGATTCCGACTCTTCCTCACCATGGAGATTAATCCCAAGGTTCCGGTTAACCTTCTTCGTGCTGGTCGCATCTTTGTGTTTGAGCCACCACCAGGCATCCGCGCTAATCTTTTGCGAACCTTCTCTACGGTGCCGGCGGCACGCATGATGAAGACGCCAAGTGAGCGAGCTCGCCTTTACTTCCTGCTGGCCTGGTTCCACGCCATCGTCCAGGAGCGATTGCGATATGTGCCACTTGGTTGGGCCAAGAAGTACGAGTTCAATGAATCGGATCTTCGTGTGGCCTGCGATACTTTGGACACCTGGATCGACACAACGGCAATGGGACGCACCAATCTGCCACCAGAGAAGGTGCCATGGGATGCCCTGGTCACGCTGCTCTCACAGTCCATTTACGGAGGAAAGATCGACAACGATTTCGATCAGCGACTATTGACGTCTTTCCTGAAAAAGCTCTTCACCGCACGCAGCTTCGAGGCAGACTTTGCCTTAGTGGCTAATGTAGATGGCGCCTCCGGAGGACTCCGCCACATCACTATGCCTGATGGCACCCGTCGGGATCACTTCTTGAAGTGGATTGAGAATCTAACCGATCGTCAGACCCCATCGTGGCTTGGATTGCCTAACAATGCTGAGAAGGTGTTGCTTACCACACGTGGAACCGACTTGGTCAGTAAGCTGCTCAAGATGCAGCAGCTGGAGGACGACGATGAGTTGGCCTACAGCGTGGAGGATCAGTCGGAGCAATCTGCAGTGGGCCGCGGCGAGGATGGACGCCCATCGTGGATGAAGGCACTCCACAACTCGGCAACCGCATGGTTGGAGCTGCTCCCGAAGAATCTGCAGGTGCTCAAACGTACGGTGGAAAACATCAAGGACCCATTGTACCGCTACTTCGAGCGCGAGGTGACTAGTGGTTCCCGTCTCCTGCAAACGGTCATTCTTGACCTCCAGGATGTGGTTCTTATCTGCCAGGGTGAAAAGAAGCAGACCAACCACCATCGTTCTATGCTGTCGGAACTGGTTCGCGGAATTATTCCGAAGGGATGGAAGCGATACACCGTTCCTACCGGATGCACAGTGATCCAATGGATCACGGACTTTAGCAACCGTGTCCAGCAGCTGCAGAAGGTATCGCAGTTGGTTTCGCAAGCAGGCGCCAAGGAACTACAGGGCTTCCCCGTCTGGCTGGGTGGTCTTCTCAATCCGGAGGCTTACATTACGGCCACCAGGCAATGTGTGGCTCAGGCGAACAGTTGGTCGCTGGAGGAACTTGCCCTAGATGTAACCATTACGGATGCTGGACTGAAGACCGATCAGAAGGACTGTTGCTTCGGCGTCACTGGACTCAAATTACAAGGCGCTCAATGCAAGAACAATGAACTGCTGCTGGCTTCCACCATTATGATGGATCTACCTGTGACCATCCTCAAGTGGATTAAGTGAGTAGCCCTTAAGGGGATCTGTATCGTTCTTTACTAATGATTTGTTTTTCCCTAGGATCTCTTCTGAGCCGCGCATTAGCAAGCTGACCTTGCCTGTTTACTTGAACTCCACGCGCACGGAACTACTCTTCACTGTGGATTTGGCCGTTGCTGCAGGACAGGACTCGCATAGCTTCTACGAGCGAGGAGTGGCCGTTTTGACTTCCACAGCCTTGAATTAAGAGCTCAGCACTACCTATATTATAGCCTATATATTACTCAAAGTAATTCCTTAATCAAAAAGTTTTAAATTAATTTTTTTTATTTTTCCAAAAATATTTTGAAACACAGAAAACCCTATGTTCTTAAAACTTGGTTTCTGGTAAGATTTTTGAGATTTTAAGTCAGTTTTTAAAAGTGTCATTTTTTAAATAACCTCATTTATTTCAAAGTTCCCTAAAATATATATACTTAGCAACCCCAGCCAAATCTTTCTATCGGATGAAACTTATTTGCTTATAATGCTAGCGCTTCTCCGGCCATCTTCATGGCTTGGAAGTTGCCTTCGGGGAAGCTGCCACTTGCCCTCCGATTTTCCGCAGCAGCGTTGCGATACGTCATTGGTTCTGGTGGACGAGGCACGCCGCTTCATTCAGGATTGCATGATGCGAGTTGGAGTACCTGCCTCCAAAGTGCGCTGTATTAGCGAGTGCCTGGTGGTGGCCGACTATCGAGGAAACTTTGGAAACGGACTTAATCGGCTGGACTTTTACCTTAGCGATCTGCAGAGGGGACACGCCAAGATTGATGCAGAGCCTTCAATTATCAGTGAAACGGAGGCGACTGCTCATGTGAACGGAAATTCGGCCTTGGGCATTCTGGTAGGAAATTTCTGCATGGATTTGGCTGTGAAAAAGGCTCAGAATGCGGGAATCGGTTTTGTAGTGGCCCAACATTCTCATCATTTCGGAATGGCCAGCTGGTATGCATTTCGTGCCGCTGTTAAGGGATTAGCTGGGATGGTGATGTCCAATTCGCCTCCAACGATGATGGCTCCCAACACCAAGTCGGCCAGTATTGGGTCCAATTGCTTGGCCTTTTGTGTAAAGGGTAAGGACTATCATTTTGTGCTGGACATGGCGACTAGCGTTAGGGACATAGGAGCCTTGGAATGGGCTTGGGCCAACGATAAGTATATACCGCATGGCTGGGCAGCCGATGAGGGAGGTCACTCTACCTGTTTTCCCAATTTGGCGCTAAGGACACCATTGTTGTACCCTGCTGGAGATCACAAAGGCTTCTGTCTATCAGCCGTAATCGATCTTTTATGTGGAGTGCTCTCCGGTGCCCAATATGCCACCCGCATTCCCTCGGATCAGTGCCAACCCTCGAACCTAGGACAGGTTTATATCGCTCTTGATCCAGACTTTTTTTTGCCGGACTTCATGGATCGTCTGGATGACTTTTGTGGTCGCATACATGATAGCGAGCCGGCTAATGATTCGGAAACTATCCGGTTACCTGGCGAACTGGAGCGGATGCATATGAGCTACATAGAGGATTTGCGTGCCCTGCCGTATCCCAACACTATTTTGGAGAGATACAGAGATGTGGCAGAGAGATTGTATGTAAAGCCCATTGAGCTGGCTTTTGGCCGGTGTCAGTCCAAAAGCTTTTAGACTTATACTCGTTAGATGTTCGGGGAAATTTCAATAAACTGTTATTTTAGTTGGGGTTGTTCCTACAAAGCTCCACCTATATGTTGAGTTTCGGAAGGGAACCTTTAGTCTGAGGGTTGATAATTTCAGAGAACGAAATACTGGTAACGGATAATTCTGAAATTGGGATGGTTTGGTATCTTGCTAGGTTGTTTCTTTTCAAGTTTTTCTTATCCCAAATATTTTTAGCTGAGGGTTTGTTTAAAATAATATAAAAATTAATTTAAATTTATTTGTCTAAAGAAAGTTCACATATTACTCTAGAACACCGCAGTGTCTGCCCAATTACAAATTACGAGATATACGAGTCAGCGTTCTGGGGGTTCCCCAAACGAGCTCTCTAGCTGATTATCCAGATATAGTTTGTAGACACCCGGTTGATTGTTAGGCGTCCAAACAGAGACTTTCGGTTTCTAGATGGACTCAGAATTCCAGAGAGCCGAGATGTTCTATCTGGTTACGGCCTGGGCGACCGCAAGATGCGCTGCAATTCGCCGGCTCCCATGTGGCGCTGCGAGCTACTTAAGCGTAATTGCCGTAAATGCAAATTTTCGCAAATTATTTGAATTACGAATTAAATCGGACTATAAATGGGACTGCAGTTCAGGGCAGATGTCTCAGAACGTCGGTAGAAATCGTTGGAGAAATGTCGGTCGGAGTCTTGCAATTACTCAGTTTTATCCTGCTTATGGATCCAACCGAGGTGATAGCAGGACCTCCACAGAACAAGGATCTACTCAATCAGAATCTGGATGAGTTCCGGCAGAAGTACTTGCTACCTCTTATCTCCTCGGATACCAGAAACTGCAGTCTAAACGCATGTGAATCTCTGGGCATTGTGTCACAGCTTTTGATGCTTATTAATTCAATGCCAAATGGAACTCATACGACGGCAAACGATCAGAAACCGTTCAAGCCCAAGGCGAATGGCCATAATAATGGAGATGGAAATAGTGGGGAGGTCAATGCTATGTCCCATTTGGCCAATTTTGATCTGGTGAAGCGGGTAAGGCAGATCGAGAGTCGCCTTCGGTCCGTGGAGCAGCCCATCTGGCACTTGTCTACTAGTAGCCAGATCGAGTGGAATCATTGCACCTCGGGTGTCTGTCGCTGCAATCCGGACACCAAGAGCTTCACCTGCTGGAATACCAATCTCAAATCGGTGCCGGTCACTCAGGTGATTCCCATGAATATGGTGAACATGTAAGTTATATCTCTACTTTGCTAAAACATCTCAAATGTAAGTTTTTCTTAACCTCCTAGAGATCTCTCCCGGAACATTCTTTCTACCCTGCACAAGGACACCTTTCGAGGTCTGACGGTGCTCAAAGAGTTGGATTTATCGAACAATGTTCTGGATTTCCTGCCCTTTGATTTGTTCCAGGATCTGGACAGTCTACTGGTTTTACGCATTCAAAATAACCAACTAGAAGACATTGACCCTCGCACCTTCTGGAAGCTGCGCAACTTGAATATTCTAGATCTGAGCAAAAATGAGATTGGCATGCTGCCGGAATCTATATTTTATCATGCCCAGAGGCTCACTGTGATCAACATGTGCGATAATCAGATCCAGAACTTCCCCCCTAATCTCTTACGAGATCAGCTTATGTTGGAGGAACTTGATATGTCCCGGAACAAAATCACTGAACTTAGTTCGGGCAGCATTCGATATTTGGCAAATTTGAAGACTCTTGACTTTGGTTGGAATCAAATTGGTAAGAAGGCTCTATAAGCTTTGACATTTTCTAGTAAATCTTCTTTTTTAGCCAAGATACATGATGACTTTTTTGTGGGTTTGAAGAGTCTGAGAATTCTTTCGCTGCACAACAATCGCATCTCATCGTTGTCGGGAACTTTATTCAATAATCTTGTCAACTTGAACACCCTCGATTTGACAATGAATCGGATAAGCCATGTAAGAATAATTGCCTCTCTAAAAACATTATTAAAAAGTAATTTCTCTTTTTTTAGATGGATGGCCGTGCCTTTGTGGAGCTAAATAACCTCAGTGAACTATTTTTGGGCCAGAATGCAATGTCCAGCATTCCTGCAGATCTTTTCTTGAATGTCAGTGCCCTTACAAGGTTGACACTCTTTTCCAATAATCTCACCACATTGGAAGCTGATGATTTTCAGGGACTGACCAACCTTAAGATTTTATTGCTAAACAATAATGTTCTTAAAAATTTCGATTCAAGCGCATTTGCACCTCTCAAACAATTGGAAAAACTGTGAGTTAAGCCAGTGAATGTTTATAAAATTATGGTAATCATAAATATTTCTTTAGCCGCATTGATTCCAACAAGTTGATGTATCTACCCCATGGATCCCTACATGGTCTAGAGAAGTTGGTGGCTGTCAAGCTGGACAAGAATCCTTGGCACTGCGATTGTCGAGCTCTCTATCTGGCCAGGTGGGTTCGAGAATTTGTGTTGAAACTCTGGGATGGTCAGCAGCCCATGTGTCGAGGTCCAGGGGATTTAGGAGGTCATGAGGTGGGTCTGCTGCGTTACGATGACCTCTGCGATGGCCAGTGGGCCAGCATGTTGTCCCTATCACCAAGGCTTCCAGTTCGAAAGCATCAGATATCCACACCAATGAACTATACAGACTACTTTAATCTGTATCTGAAGCATATTTATAATGGCACCACCGATGAGGAGCTCAAGGAAGCTGATATAACCAGTGTGGCCATAAAGAAGGTCCATAATTAGTCTATATGTAAAATGATATTAAACTTAGCTTGACACAAATATATTATTATTTTGTTTTAGAAAGCCATTAATAGTATGGCAAAATGTTTAACTAAGGAAACAAAATAGCAAAACTTTTATCCTAATCAATATTTCATGTTGTTTATGAACAAATATTTTTATTAAAACTTTCACTAAAACCATTTTAAATCTGTTGGCTGCACTTAAGACAGCAATATGGCAGTTTTCCCCACCCATATCTTAGTTGCAAAGTTTTCCACTTATTCTTGTCAAAACAAGTTTAAAGTCAATTATGTATTTGCATGGTAGACATTTAGTATTAATTTGCAACCTCATGGGAAATAAACCATCTTTGTGTTCCACTATTTCACTCCGCCTTCGCTTTTTGGTGGAGTAAAAATTACAAGACCGTCTCGGCTTCGCGTGCCGCTTTTTACCGGTGTCTGCGTTTGCGACAAGCTTTTTACCTAACCAATTTATTACTTCCGCCCGGCCCAGCCTAACTTCGTTCGTTCTAGGAGCTATCTTGGGTCCTACTGGGTTCACTAGCTCCACTCTTGCCATTTGGCTGCACTGGAAAATATATTATTTACATGCACTTCAACTGCATAATCCAGTCCAAACAACTTTATTAAATAATTTGTTGCCTACATTTAGGAACCTTTCAAAGGAACTTTAGACGAAATCACAGATAAAGCCATTCTATTCCTCTATTATAATCCAATAAATCATAAACCCACTAATTTTTTCCCTCTCTGCTTATGTTATGTTCGTTGGCAATATCATTCCAGTTTATAGTTACTGTGGCTGCTGCTATTCGTTTTCCTTTTCGGGTTTTCCCGTCTTCTTTCTATTTTTTATTTTGCCGCTGTCCTTGCAATTTCCATGTGTTGACATTGCCGTGCTCCATTCACTTTCCCACTTTGGCCCGGCGCTGGCTGCTTCCTGTTGCCAGTTTCCCAGTTTTGGACTTCTGTAGTTTCGGGTGTTGCTGGGCGATAGTGGGCCCTCCGCCAGTCATCGGTCTCCGGTTCTTCCGCCCACCAATTTCGAGGGGCTTGGGAATCCCAGGGGATGGAGGCCTGGTGGCTTGTAGACAACAAATGCATTTTATAGAAAATTTGCAAGGCAAATATTAAAAATTGAATGCCGCCATTGTTGCCCTTGCTGTCGGATGGGCCGTTGTTGTTGGCTATTTGTTTGAAAGTTGTCAGCACTGGAAAAAAATCTATACGGTTTGAAGGATATGTGTTATGAAAAAATCTTTAAGAATGATTGGCTTTTTATTGGTGTCAACTTAAGTTTGAAATTTATAAGATCGGAGCTTAAAAAAGTTCTGATTACTCTTTCAATTTATTCTCCGTGTGGTTGAGGGAATCGGAGCTGATTGCCCCTGAGTGGCTGGGCTCCGCTTTCTGACATCGCCTCACAAAAAATGTCAACCCTTTTCCACTCCTTTTCCCCGGCTTTTCAAAAATACAACAATATGTAATCATATTTTTCTTTATACGCTACGCACGCGTCACCGTTAAATACGGATGGGAAAACTAGAGGTTTGGGGCACAGGAAAACCGGAGGGGCGGTGGGTGGTGGTGCGAATGTGAATCCTGCTATCAGTCGCATCTGTCTTTTGCCGTAGTCGTTGCTGCCTAAAGCGGAAGTAAAAGGATTTGAATTGCCTTTTGCTAACAAAATAACAAAACACCCTTAATGTATGCAAATTCCCCCAAGTTTAAAGTCTCCTGCCAGCTAAGCAAACATCTTAGCGTCTTGTCATGCCAGCATCGAGCCTACAGAGACGTTTTAAAGGATTCCAAAGGACGGAAGTTCTTTCCGCCCAGTCAATGACCAATTGCCGGCTAAGTATTTTTCTTTGGATAACAGAAGGTCAATTTGGCTAAGTTGGGGAAACTAAAACTTAAAATTGAATTTGCCTAATGCAGTTTGGGTCATGAATATTAGTAAGTTTGGGAAGTTGTTTTGTTTTGAAGAGCTTCTTTTTGTTACTAACACTAATGAGCAATTGATTTCGCTATAAATAGAAAATGAAGGGGTATTCTGGAAAAGAAACTTTTTCTTACGATTGTTGCTATTGCATGTAAAGGAGCATGAGAAATATAAAGGAATATATGTTTTTTAATGTATTTAATAGTTTAACATTTACAGAAAAATGTATTAGTTTTTGTTCTGAAGGCTTTCCAGTTTTTGCATTTTTTAAGTTACGTTTGTAAAGAAGACTTTTTTGTGAATGCAATGCTAACAGATTTTATACAAAAGTAGCTTTTAAACTGAATTTTACACAGATATTAGCAAAGAAACAGCAAAGTTATTTTTAAAGCCAAGCTTTTACAGCTTTCACATTTTGAACTTTCTTTTCATGGTGAATTTCTGTTGGTAGTACAGTTTGAAATCATCCCCTTTGATGTTCCGATTTCCGCCACTACCCGAAGATTTGGCGTTCTTTGAGTTTTTCCTGACCCATGCGAGTAGCACTCAAGGGCAGGACTCACCTGCTCTTGAGTCTTTAAAAACCAACTCAATTCACTGCTCAAGCGCGCGCTTTTGTCAGCGGATTTCTCTGTAAAAACCTCTCGGCTGGCCGTTAAACTTCGATTGACACACTGAACTCGGCGGCAGTCGGTCACGATGTTCGCCGGCAGCTGCTGTCGGTTGGGATTTGGCAAAGAAAAAACGAAAAAAACAAATAATATGAGAAAAGCGAAAACGAAAGGCGGGGATGTTGGTCAAATTTTTGATTTATTTGAAATTTTTAATAATTCGAGATTGGGGATTTTATTGTGCGGCTGACGCTTGAAATTGTTTGAATGAGCTTGGCCAGCCAAGCAAATTAATGCAAATTTCATGCATTTTCACGCGACCGGCACTTGTGTTGCTGCTAAGAAAATTTGAGTTCGTATTCTATAACCCGTAACCCGTAGACCATGGACCCGTAGCCCGTAGTTCACAGACCTGACCTAAGGCAAGCCGCACAAAATTTGACTATGGCAAATTCACTTAGACGTTGGCCTTTCCACGGCGTGCGCACAAAAACTTTTTGCCACACTTTTCTTTCATTTTTTTTATTTTATTTTTTTTTTTGTCTGTTTTTCATACATATTTAGCACATGCTGCTGGGGGAAAATTGTGGGCGGGGGTGTTTGCTTGCCACTTTGGAGCAGCTACAACGCATAAAGATGCGACTTGGCGTAAAGTGTGTTTACGTGTGTGTGTGTGCGGTTGGTTTTTGCGGCTTGGAGTCCGGCACTCCGACTCTACGGCTCTGCGACTCCGGGCTAGGTCCTGCCCTCTTGCCCGCCCGGTTGGCAAACGCGGCGTATACTTAATTCGGTTTATGCCCGAACGTGTCGCACATTATTCTTATGTGCTCTCTGTCGGCTACGATGTGTGAAATATGCTGAATGTGTGTGCACAGCAATTTTGATTAGACTCAAACACACACACACACACAGCCACAACTGACAAGGCCGCCAAACAATTAAAATTTCTTTTGTTCCTATAGAACGATTTGTTTGATTTGCTCTAAACGCGAAATAATGAAAATTATGGAAATGAAATGCCTGCCCATTGACCTCATTGAGCAGCCAGCTGAAGTGGATAGACAAGGTGGTGCAGGGGGGGAGCGGTAATATTAGAACAAGTTTACCTTAGACGGATATCAGTGATGTTAGCCAAGGAAAAGGACACTGGAAAGCTAAAATCTTAAAAGGAAGACAAACGAGTGAATAAAGGATATGGAAATATAATGCTATATAACATAGAAAATTAAATTCCATAAGTGAAAAACTGAAAACAGTGCAATTATTTCCTTAAGTTGCCATAGTTGGAAGTTTCCCAAAATTCTAAAAAAAAAAATATAGCCTCAAATAGCTGTCATCTCTGGCAGTTATCGCCGGTCACCTTTATTCGCGGATTTTCTCATAATTTTTACGACCTATTTCGTGTGAAAACTGTGTCGCCATTCGCGGCGACCGGCCAAGTGGTCAACTGAAGTGGAACTTTTAATTTCAATTTTTTATTACTTCAAATCTGTTTGCGCACCGAAAAAACGGACAGAAGGGAAGCCCGAGCTTGTCTCACCTGTTTTCCCATTGTGTCCTTTTTTATTATTTTCTTTTCTTTTTGGTCCTGTGGTCGAGCAGGTTCTGCGGCATTTTAAATACAGCAATGAAGTGGTTTTTTTATTCGGTTAGTTTTTCCGCGCCGAGGCTTCTTGGCTTTTGGATATGGTCTACATTTATTGGCCTGGCGACAAATTTTTATTGCTGGTATGTAGTTTGGGCCAAAGGCGACAGCATATGCCGCAGTCGTATGGTGCTATGTGGGATCCGGATGCGGATCCCTTAGCTCCTCCGGAAAAGTTTGTGCATTCAGTGCCTGGGGTCTAATCACATTGCCAGGCATCAGGCATTGAGAATCAGACGCCAACCTTCGCCGTACGTGATGCATTTTTTACAAGATGGTTCAGACTTGAACCGACTTGCGGTCTTTGGTCCTTAGATAGTTCGCCTTCGATTCGCTTCAGTGCTCCACAGCTCCACTCACAATTTGACTTTTGATGTGGGTATGTGGATATTGGCACGCCCTCAAGCACCATGGGTGAAATGCAAAAGTTTTGCTGCCAAAATGCTTGGAGTTTTTGGCAAGTTTTCCAATAACATTGCCACTTATGTGGGTTTCATTTTAATTCGATATTGAAAGCACTCTCTTTCAGGAAGGTGCAGCGGCAAAGTTTTAATTGTCCAACCCGAAATTATGAAGCAATAATATTGCATTTATGAAAGCACATAATTCAATTTCTGAGGCCTGGAATTATGTCAGCCACAGAGCACAGTTCAATTTTTCCAGCATGAAAGCAATTACACAGAAAAGAATTTCAATTTTCTGACAGAATAAACTTTTTTAAAGAACCAAATTGTTTTCCTTAGAATGAGAAATTCAAACATATGTGGGCTTTAGAAATTGTTTGAAAGGAATGAAATGAATTTTTAAATAAATTTAAAATCTCGCATTGTTAGCTATTTTCACTGTGTATTGTTCGAACATATTGATAATTCATTTGGGGTTTCCTCTTTTATGGTATAGCCAAAAGCCATATAATAGCCAACCGATATTATGTCCTGTAACCATTTTGAAGTATTTGATCCACGGTGCCCAGTTGGCATGTCAGAATTTGTGGATATTCTGTTTAAATACCGTAATGAAGTCTGCTTATACAATATAATGTACCGTGTTTGTGCTACGTGCCTTGGTTATGTTATTGCACGCCGATCCGCACTTCCGTTCTCGTTCCGTTCCGGTTGGCAGCCTTTTCTGGGCGGGATTGGCGGTGGCATTGTTGGGCTGGAAGGGGCTCAACCGGATACCTTCTCAACTCCGAGACTCCGGCTGTGTTTTTATTTGCGTCGGCAAATCTTAAGCTTGTTTAACTGCTCGTTAGTGTTAGTCGCTAGCTAGTGCTGTTGTGCCACCGCTGCTGCCTTTCGCATCCTCCCATCGTGACACCCTATTGTTATAACACGTTCACGACCTAGTCAACATCTCCAGCTGACTTGGGCCGGAGTCCCTGAGTCCCAGAGTCTTTGACTCTGTCTGTGTTTGGCAAGCATCGGAGCTGAACACAGAAAGTAGTGCCATCGGATGGGTTCGGAGTGTATGTGCCAAGGTGCATGCTAAGTACCGACCTCCAAACCCATTTCCACCTGCAACCAGCCGTTTGTGATGCACAGAGAGAAATAATTGAGTCTTTTTTACTTCTTTTTCATATAAAATAATATTAGGAAATATATTAACACCATTCTTATATTGGAATCTATCGCAAAAATAAATGTATTCCTACCATAGATATCTTCTTAAGGTACTAAAATTTTCTTTCTCTGCTTCAGTCAAGGCTCCTCCGCCTGACTGGTAAATGTTTGTCCAGCATAATTGCGCTCAGCATGCAGTTTCCCTTTGCTTTCCCTGCTTTTGCTTTTCCAGGCGGTGGCTACAATATTTTTCCTTCAGAGCTTCGCCTTTGCCGGCGTTTTTCAATTTTCCCTAGTTTTGCCTTCTTGCGGAGCTTTAAAGGATTTGGAACTTGTTTACGTGGCGTATTAGTATAATTTACAACGGAAGCCATCAAAGGCTTTGATGCGCCGCAGGCGAGTCTAGAAATTATTTTCCCATTGCCTTAACCGAACTAATTTCAACGTGTCCGCAGTGTTGTTGTTTATGTGGGTTAACCGCAGGGAAAACGGAAAATCGTCGATGTGGAGTGTTTCCATTAATCAATTTGGCATGTAGTTTGTCTGGAATTGGAATCTAGATAAACAGCACTGGTTATAATAAAGTTCGATGGCTTAATAAACTAATGAAAAGTTAATAACCACAATTTTGCATTGCCCAGAAATGTATGCTACACAGAACGAAAGTGTTGGTAAGTTATTAATAATTATTAATATAAAAACTATTACTATAAGTCTAAGAAAATCTCAATAAATATATAAGACATTGATATCACACATTGTACCAAGAAATAGTATAACAGATTTCTAAAAATTCCTTTCAGTGCATGAAAAAATAATATCAAAATCCATTAGCAAAATATATACCTAGATTAGGTTCTAAACCAGAAAGAACCCCAGATATAGATATATATATATATAACGGCCGACAGCTAAAGCCTGGTTACATATTTATTTTCGTATTTTTGCCCATTACAATTGTCGCAGCAATTGCTGGTCATAACAATTACCGTTTCGTGTTTAACCATAATAATCTGCCCTGTTGTTTGTGTAATTAAACAAATAATAAAGCCGAGGGCCCTTACCACTTGAGTGTTTTTATTGTTGACCAAATATGAGTTCATGGGATTTAAAATGGTTTAATCAACTGGGCCTGGCCCAAACAACACACACTCTATGGCCCTTTGTAATACCCAAAAAATATTTACAATGCTTTTATGGTTTTGTGCCGAGCACTTTTCGCCAGTGTTTCTGATTGTTTTGGACTTAGTCTGGTCTGGGCCACGTGCGTGCCTCGATGCCCTGTATAATTTTCCCTTAGCCCATAAATCGTTCGGGGGCTAAATTTAAAAATAATACAGCAATTTGAGATTTATTGAGGAGCCAGACTCTCTCTCTCTCTCAGCTTCGCTGGATTTTGGCCAGGTGGCTTCAATAGACATGCCAGAAGCAGGATTTATGACGCAAGCAGAGAAAACAAATAGCCTCTCAATTATTGCACAATTTGAAGTGTTTAATTAGTGTATGGTATTTTATTGCATTGTATTCAGGGTATTCGTGTGTGTGTGTGTGTGTGTGTGTACGTACGTATGGTTATATGCATAATATAGGTATATGTATAGGTAAAGGTATAGATATAGGTATTATGTAAACACTAACTAGCGTTATGCGTGCTCGATTCAATTGTATATCACTTAAATTATAATTACGAAACGAAATTGCTCGTTGGTTAATAGCGCATAAATACACATTAAATGCATAACCAATTGTTGAGTTTTATGTCCTTTGCCATCTAATCGGTATCCAGTGGTGTCCGGTGGAATGGTCATGGTTTGGTCATGTTCATTCATCGATGGGCTGGCTAGCTTCGTGCCAGCATTCCGTTGATCATGATGTTGGCCAGTGCGTTACGCCTCTTACGCCACGCCCCCATGCCCTGGGCATGGTACTGCAGCTGTGTGTACCACTGTTTCGTCCTTACGCCGTCCTCCGCCTGCGAATAAATAAAGCGGCGTGTAAACCCGTTAGACATGTATTTGATTGACTAGGCCGTGAGATCCTACACCCTACACACCCTTCATCCCCCTATCCTCCTATTTTTCCCAGCAAGGATGTCATTTTGACAGGACCCGTGGAGTGCGTGTACGCACGTGTATGTGAATGTATGCGACCGCTTGTCAGCCGCTCAGTTGGCCGGAACTAAACGTTTCAATTTATGCGCCGCCGGCCTCCAAAGGCCTACGTTGGGTAGTGTAAATCCTACACTTAGAAAAACCAAGATGCTGTATATCTTAAATACTAACCTTAAATACTACCTTTCTTTAACAATTTATAGTATTTTTTCCACCAAAAATACTGTATTAAATATGTTTTTAAGCATTTTTTCAGTTCAAAGTTCGTTTAAACTTATTAAATAAATCAAATTAATTTGCTTATTGACGCATAAATATATCTTCCTAAGGAAATCATAATTTATATTTTTGGTGGACTGTAGCCTAAACCGAATCTGTCTGGCTGTCTCTCCGTTTGGCCCCTTTTCCCGCCACGGCCCTCACGCAGCCATTTTGTTGCGCTCCCGTGCGTTTTTCTTTCATTCTTTATATAACGTATTTCAATAAATGTCATTCATTTTGGCAGCCGTTCTACGTGCGCTGCCTGAGCGCGTCTGAAAGGATCTCCGCCTGCGGGTCCTGCCAGGACATCTCCCCTCTTCATCCTGCAATGGCTTAGCCCGGCCTGAGCACGAAAGAAAAAAAAAAATGGAAATTTGCATGACTAAAATCTGGCTGGCTGGTCGGATGATGCTACAAGCATTAGACGGGCAAAGATTTCAAATGGATTTTTGCATACGCTTTTTGCGCTCTGTCTGTTATTAAAATTGCTTTACTTTCCTTGGCAAAAGGTAAACTCTTCATTGTGCCGAAGCTTCCTTGGCCCTGCCTTCCCGCCGTGGCTCAAGGAATTTTCCAGCTCCCCCAGAAAAGGTTATCAGCATGTAAGTGTGAATGAAGAAGCTATCCGAGGGTGACTTTTATTACATTCCAAGATGATTGTGCGGGAAGCACTTTAAGCTGGATAATTTCATATTCATCTTGCTTTTCATTACTCAAATTTTCTATTTTCAGTTCGGAAATTTCTCGTAGTGCCCTTCTGGTTAAACGTTTGCCACATGTTGTAAAAATACACCATTTCGAGGTTGGTTAACTTCTCTGTTGCGCTGCTCTATTAACCGCACTTCTGGGTTAGAACAGAAAAAAAAAAAAAACAAGAAACCAGAAACTATCATTCCCATCCCAAACCAAAAGCTGGAAACTAACGAAGCCCAAACACTGGGCGCTGTGCAGTCAAAAGGCTGGTGGTGCTCACTAATTCAAAAGCCAACTCAACGGGAACCAGGACTCCTGGACTCCGGACTGAATTGGCTTGGTTAGTTGGAGTGGAAAACAAAGGGCCTAGCTGCCGATACCAATAGCGATACTCCGGCTCGTACTCACTTTGAATATGAATGTGTCCTTCGATGAAATTTCCTGCACTTCGAAATAATCATCCCAATCCGCTTCGCTGCACACGACACATCTGTCCAGATAGAGCGGTTCCCGGATCAGCGTATACCGTCCGCACTTTTCCTTCACCAGTAGCAGGGAGGCTTCGCGGATGCCCGTGTGCTTCGGGAAATTCAGTTTTTCCGACATGGCCTTCTCTGCCCTGTAATTGGCACTTGGCTGTTGTTGTACGGTTGTCGTTGTTTCAGGTTTAGTTGTCGTCGATGTCGGTTGGTGTGGCACAAAAAAGGACCAAAAAGGCGGCGACAATGGAAATAAAGGAATAGAATAAGTGGGGAAAAAATGAAAATTGTGTAAAACGAAACTAAACAAAATTACAACTAAAAGTGGGTGGACAAAAGGTACAGGGAAAGAAAATGTTTAGGTTTTTGTTTTTAAACCTTAACCTGTTTTAGTACATTTTATTAGTTTTTGAATACATTTCTTGTTCCTTCAACTGATTTCTGAATGAGTGAAATTATATCTAAAGTAGCACTTAAGTACATATAATAAGGACTAACTTTCCAGGTAAGTCTAAGCTTGTTGAAGTGGATTCGTGCCTTAAGTAAGCTTCTTATTCTTAAGCTCTCATAATGTTGTTCTACTTTGTGACTTTGGACTTTCTTAAATTTTTAACGTAATCATTTTTAAATTTCTTAAATTTGTGTAATCATTTTTTTGCCAAGTGCACTTTGGACTATGCTAGATAAGACTTTGGCAAACGCACAAAGCGTGTCAGCCCGAGAAACTGCCGCAGGAAGCGGCACCAAGAAGCAACTGGAGCCACGAGACCAGCACTAGCAAAAACTAAAGGGAACAGGCAACGAACTGGATGGTTGGTGACCGTTCTTGAATTGAGCAATTGTCGGCGGTCGAGGACGGTCCAGAAATTTAGAGCAGGGCGTTGGGAAAAAAATAAAAACCCCGATCGGAGCAGAAAAACCAAACAAAACATGTGACATACGCACTGCGTCCGTATGCCGATTACGCCTCCGATCTGAAAACCCCTGGCAGGATGCCACTTTCCTTGCCTTTTTTTCCTCTTTTGTTTTTTTCTTTTTTTTGGACCCGAGATAGTTGCTGGGATAAGCACTTTTCATTAGGAGAAAAAGCCAGAACGAGAACGGTACCGAGTGGGCGAGTGGGGTTGATGTGGATGTGGATACGGTGCCGGTTCAATGGGCTCGGCTCTGATTTGTTGAAATCTTTTATCGCACGGAAAAGTGTTGCCATGGCAGCCGGAAAAGCCGAGACAGCTCCGGACAGCTTCCGCCGCACAGAGGCAACTGGATAGCGTCGCTCGCTAATTGCCTTGGCATCGCCATAGCCATCGCAATCGCCTTTTGCCATCTTGGGCCGTGTCAAACGTTCAACGTCTCTTGATGCCTGTCAAAAGTGGCCGCCAACAAGAAGGCGAAGGAAAAGGGAACAAAAATGGGGGTAAGCATCTGGAGAAGGTATTACAGGAGGTGCTCCATCGAGCAAAGGAAAAGGTGTGAACTATGGTAAAGTCAGGCCAAGTCATCATGCAATGAATTTCAGTCATCTTCCTTAAGCAAGGTGTTAGAAGAAGCTGCTTTTAAGAGGATGGCTATTAATTTATGATTGATAAAGCAATCTTAGGTTACATTAATTATTATATTTTAAGTTTTTTAACTCTACCACCTACCTTGCCATTGGTAACCAACAGAGCATTGACTGGCGTCAGCTTGATGGTGCGGGCCTTCTTCCAATTACTATCCGTGGGCTGAGTGTAGAGCAGTCGTCCTTCCATGGCGAATCTCACCTCATCGTGGTTCCATTCCAGAATATCAATGGCCATTTTACGTAGCTTGATGTTGATCATGTCAATCTCGCAAGAGGCACGTCTATTTGGACTGGAGGAGCTGATGCGGCGCCACAGCTTGGTGGGCACATCCTTGGCCTCCTGGTTGATGTGGTTCAGGTGCAGTTCAATCTTCTCCTGGGCTTGTTTCAGCAGATCGCGACCATCTAGATGGGAGGGTGTGACCTTGTAGAGACGGGCCAGTAGAAGGGGATACTTCGTAACGCGCTGAACGGGAACCTGGAAAAAGTTATGGTTGTAGTTTTATAGTTTCTTGGTAACCTCAAGTACTTACCATCAAAAACGAGTTAAGATTCATGCGCCGCAGTACGGCGTTCTCCATTTGGGAGACCTTGAGAAAGATGCGCAGCAGCTCCTTCTCCTTCTCGAGATTGGCCAGGAGCAGACTGGCGCCCGCCTGGCGGACGCAGTAGCTCTCGAAGGCGTGCAGCATCTGTGTGAAGTCGAGAAAAATGCGACCGATGTTCACCGTCAGTAGGTCATCGTCGCCCTGCTCCAGCGACATGTCCAATGCGTCGCGCATTCGTTCGGCCAGCGTCTGGTTGTTCTCGAGCAGATCTTCCGTATTGAGGAAGATCGCAGAGAGCTGCTCCTGGGTGAGCAGGCCGGCCACCAGCATGGGGTGGCAGAACTCCTCCAGTATGATCTGCAGATCCCTGCCATACTTCTCCTCTGTCTCCACAATCTCCGTGATGATCTCCTTGCGCTCCACGCGCTTCTTTCCGCATTTTCGGCAGACCAATGGAGCGTAGAGGACTCCACCGTCGCCCACCTGCATCTCGACGGCTCCATCGCAGTCCTCGCACAGGTGGAGTACGGTAGGTGTGGCCTGGTACTTGCTGCGGGATGTCTTACTAGTTTCTGAGCCTACTCCGGAGTCCTGTCGTTCAACATCGCTCCCGGATGACTTTCCTCCTCCTCCGCAAATAAAGTTATGTGGCGGTGGGGACAGGGAGCTCATGCTGCTCTGTCCACTGTCCCGTTCCCTTTCCCGCTCCTCCGCTTGTCGCTTGTCCAAGTCGCTCAGGGTATCCGCAGCTTCCTCTTCAATAATCTTGGGGTTGTTACCATAATCGAAGCTCTCTTCCCTGGCCAAACCTCGTTCCTTGGCATCTACGAGGTAAGAGAGGATATCATACTTGGAGGCTCCTTCGAAAATGGAACGTGCAGCCTTCTTGTCCAGCTCTGCATCATTTAGAGGAGGAGCAGAAAGTGGCAGTGGCGGCGGAACCTCATGGATCTCCTCATAAATAGGATCTCCACTATGCCTAATCGATTCGTAGTGATGTTCCGAGTCAGTTCCCAAATTCTGATCCATATGCGTGGAGTGTTCGATCTCAGCCAGCGTGGCATCAACCAAGAGCTGGTAGAACTTGGCACGCGTGGCAGTATCCAGTTCCGATTCGGGATCTTTTATAGTACTAATAGAATCATCTTCCAGGACACCAGAGGCAGTCAACTCGCTGGAACAGCTCTGATAGCAATCCGACTCATTGCCACCCGCTCCGCCATCGAAATCGAAGAGCTCGTAGTTGTGGGCAGAGGCGAAGCTATTGGCGGAACTAATGCTGCCCCGATTGGACAGGCGGTCCTCCTCTTTGGTTGCACTACTTCCAGTTGTCGCCGGCTGTCGCTCCAAGCGGATGCGTTGCAGCGAGGCGCTGATCAGGCGGTTCATGTCGTCGTGGTCTTTGGTGCCGCTCATGTCGATTCCCCGACGGGTTTGCTGGAGTCTATGCAGTGAGTTCTCAATGAGTTCCACCACTGTCTCGGTTTCCAGGCCCTCGGCCACCTGGCCCAACATAGGATCTTGCAAGAGTTTGGCTATGAAACCGGGTTCCTTGGGTGGCGAAGTTGATAGCTCCCCTTCCTGAATTTTCTTGGATTTTCCACTATCCCGCGAAGGAGCTCGCAAGCCACAGACATGTGGTACCAGGTTAAGTTTCACTGCCTCCACAGGATTGCGGAGGATCTTGAGGAGCTCAGTCTCGTGGGGAACCAAAGGATTGTTGCTTCCACTGGGTGAGTCTGGGGGAGGTGGAGTAGCTGGCGTGGAACTTATGACAGGGGGAGTATTGATGGGTGTACTACTGGTGGCCGATCCCTTCCTCTCCCGTTCGTAATCCAACCGGATAAGAGTCCTTCCCCGCCCGCTGGAACTGCTACTGCTAGAAGTGGAGCTACTCGATGTTGAGGAGATGCAGGACACCGATCTCTGAAGGTTGACCTCGCTGGCTCCTCGAATGGGTATAATGGCAATGCCCATTCCCATCTGCTGGCTCCGCAGAGTGTTCAGTTGATTCAGTTCCTGCTCCTGCTCCTCGGCGCTGCTCACGTTGATGCAGACACTCGTGGCCGAGTGGCTATTGACCACAACGGAGGATTGGTAAAGGGGCTGAGCGGCATCTGCACTTAGGTTCATGGTGGAATAGCAATCATCGCCGCTAATCAGAATGGAAGTCTTCTTAGGCGCAGCGTCCTCTTCATCGGGGGAAATCAAATAGGTGTTTGGCCTACGGCGGAGTTCCACGCCCAAATCTGTATCATCCTCGCTGTGCGAGATCTTCAGGCGATGCACCTCCTGGGTGAAGCCATCACCAACGACACCACCCACCTGCTGCTGCTGGGGCTTGAACGGAGCAACCCGAACCACCGTCCTTTGGGGCGATAGAGGCGACTTATTGATTTCGTGTGGCAACGGCTCTAATCCTTTGCCTGCTCCTTTGGGAGGTGGAGGTGGTGGCTCCGTGGGCCGCCTTTGAAATAAATCTCTCGAGTCGCTGCGGTTGCTTTTTATGCGCAGCGCCATTGTGTCCTTAAAATTTAAAATGACATTCTGCGGCCCACTGGCTGGAGTCGTCGGGATGGAGTGGCAGTTTCTACCAGCGACGGTGCCGGAGAAGGCGTGGCCGTGGCCGGAGGTGGTGGCGGCCAAAGGCGCGGTCGACAAATGCCGTTCACTATGCGCCCGTCTGATGGGATTTCGCGATTGTGTCGTTTGTGCTGCACGCTTTTGACTTGCCGCAGGCTTTCCAACAGCATCCTTCTCCTTCTCCTGCCTCGAAATCTCCGTCTCCTTTTTCTGCTGCTTGTCCTTGTCCTGATCCTGGTCCCTTTCAGCCAAGTCGTTGGTTGGTTTGTTGTCGTGACTCTCATCCTTGTCGTTGTGCTCGTCATCATCGTCATAATCGCGATTTGCTGCTGTCGTCTTTTGGGTTGCTGGTTGTGAAGCTGTTGCTGGTGTCTCTCCTCCTGCAGCTCCTGGTCCGGGTCCTCCCGCTTCTCCCACTCCATTGGATGCGCCTGCAAAAGAGTAGATGGCAAGCCGGTTAGATGGTGACACTGGTGAGTGGCGTGTCGCAACTGGCAAAATGTTGCTTTTGTAAAGTAAATCTAAGTCTGCCAAGCCCCGGCCAAGATGCGGATGGTGGCCCACACCCACATTCACAACCTCACCCACATTTTCATCCAACTGCTACCTGATCATGAGAGTAATAGCCAAGAGCCGAAGGGGATTTGGCTTGGATCAAATGCGGTAGACAACGATTGCAGCAGAGTTGGCGAGGGCTAGCTGAGTTTCGAAAGGCTTATAGCCAGATTTGGAGGGTTTTTTCAAAAGGTTTTTAGAACTTTAATTTAATTAAAGAAATTTATTAAAAAATTTAGGAAATCCGCTTAAACCTCAAAATTAATTCTGCTTACAAATTAAAGAAACTTTTCCTTAATAATTTTCCTCAAAAGTGGTTTTATTATTATAACAAATCTTCACCTGTTGAATTCCAAGGGGTTTTCTGATTTTCTAGGAACCCAACCTTATTGCAACTTGTATTTATTTATTCAGTATTAAAGTTCGTAATTTGGGGATTCCCCCATTGACTGAATGGCTATTTATTTATCTCCTTGGCAGCACCTTCACTTCGGTTCACTCGGTTCACTTCATGCAGATTTATGTTCGGCCAAATGGTGTAGTTGCCCTAGTCCTTGCCCCCCAACCACTCTCTCATCTGTCCCACTATTATCACAGCACCACCCACCCAGTTCCTACCTCATCCTCATCCTCCGCCCACCCTCACTTCCGTTGACAGCCACTTAAAGATGTGCCTGCCCGCGATAAGGTGTTTTGTTTCGGCTCTTTTGGTTTTCGGTTTTTGACGGTGGCCACGCTTGTGGTTGCAAGCCGCACCACCCAGAAACCACCCAACCACGCTGCCAAAAACCACCGAAAAGCCAACCACTCCGCCACCCCCACAGGGCTGACAATATGTACGTATCTTTATTTATGGTAAATTGGGTGATTTACGTTGCGGCCGATAAGCTTTGCTTTTCAGCGCTTGCCGGTTGTCCTTGTCTCTTGTCCTGGCATTTGAATTGCCAGGCGGCTCAAGTCCTTGACTGTGGCAGTGGGCGCTTGTAAATGGGCTTTTATTTTCGTTAGCCGGGTTAAGGGCCCGCACAAGGACGAATGCCGCGACCAAGACGCGGACGGGGCTGGCTCCAAACAATTTGTTTTGGAATTAAGATAATAGATTACATTTAAATGTTTTTCTGAGGCTGAGAAAAGGGTTTACTTGTGTCGCCGAAATTTGAGTGCCGCTGCTGACGTCAGCATTAAAATGGTTTGATAACCCAACCGAAAACCCCATGAGTTCCCCTTGCTGCTACCCTACCCTACCCTACCCTATACTCACAAATACAAAAAAGTAAAGATAAGACATCCGGACAGTGACCCACAAAAGCCAACGTCGTTTTAATGAGTGCGAAAAGTGAGCTGGCTTTATGGGTTGCGGGCACCTTTGGGTTTTATGTTAATGAGTGTCATCGGCATGGAGATTCGAGGAGCTCAGTCGGTGCACTTTGAACCCCAAAAGCGGATCGAATAAACACCTGCCAGCTCAACGCTGCGAGCAGGAAATTCACTCCTGCGAACAATGAAATTAATTAAGTGCGACAGCCACTTGAATTTCAATCGACAACCCTTCGATTTGCTAATCGCATTAGCCCCGTGCCATTCGAAATAGTTTGCCATGCAAAACAGCAACAATGGCGAACGGATCGGGTGGCTACAGCTCGAGTGGCTTTGTGTGGAAAAGGTAACTCAGTTTTCATTCAACACTTGTCAGTTAACTCCCCACAAAACACTACACTGGGAAAGATTGTTAATAAATAGTAGAATAAAGTTACACTTTATGGAAGGATTGGAGTTAAAGTTTTGGGTTTTCCATAAAAAAATCATGAGAACTGATGATTACTTCTATTAACTTTCTCTGATCTGCACTTATTATCTTCTTTTTTCTATCTGTAACCCGGCCGATGCTCATTTTTCTCTGCCACTTAATGAGATTTTTGTTGAGAATTACTCTGCCATTGTCGCTGGGAAGTCGCGCAGTTGTCGACTATTGTAATTGGTTGCCGACTTGTCTTTGACCGAAAATATTTAATTAACGCCTTTTGTAGTTGAACGCGATGCTCGGCTGCTTGTAATACACTCTCGACAAAGGGCCACAAAGGCAGCAGCAAATAAATCCCAAATTTGACAAGCCAAGCGCATACAAAAGCCTTCATTTATTTAATTGCCTTTGGTCTAGGTGTATATCTTAGGAAAATCCAATGAAAACAAAAAATCAACAAAAATAAATAAATAAAAAATAGCCGAAAAACAAAGCAAATATTTTGAACAGAGCTACATTGGTCTGTAACTGAATTTAGTTACGAGATTCAATTAGCCAAGGCAAGTGGGTAGAAATATTGTTAAATTTGAAATCCACTCTTAAATTGGATCAATATCGTGCAGAATAGGTTTTTGGCTTTTTCGGTTAGTTGGCAAATTAAATTAAAAAAAATCAAAGCTGGGAAAATGTAAACAAAGTGAAAATGGGGGATGGAAAATTGGAGGATGTCGAAGTTGGAAGATCGAAGGAGGTGAATCCTTTGGCCCCATGCGGCTTTGTTCATTTGAGAAGAAAAAGTAATTAAAAGAGTAACTTGTCGGGATTAGTAAAAACATTTTAATTTAGTTGCCATGCATAACAAAGAGTGCCGAAAGATAGAGAGAGAGAGGTAGGGTAGGTTAAGGGAAATGGCAATGGCAAGTCAAACTGAAATGGGTCAATAAATCCGAGCTTAATTTTATTGCTCTGCACTTGGGCTCCCCGACTTTTCCCCTTCACCTCATCACACTCCTTTGAGCCATTCTGCTGAGCGAGACGAAGAAATATAAATCGCAATGGTAAACAAATCAAAATAAATGAGTAACAAAAGCAAGCCATGGCCGACTCTATGTGAGTTCAGCTTTTCCCCGCCGCTTTTCCCATTTTCCCAGGCACTCCTCCGATGTGCTGACAAGCTGACAAACTGACTTGAGACTCTGAGGGAGTCTGGCAATCTGCCGAGGAAACTCAGAGGGTCCGGAAAAGCGGAAAAAGCAGCAAGAAAGAAATTATAGTGGCTGAGCAGGGATTGAGATACGTAAACGTACACAGATTCCGATTGGAATTGCGATTCCATTCCCCAGTCTTTACACTTGGAAAAGAATGTCCAAGAAACTGATGATTGTTATTTTATCTATAAAAGAACGTAGTTATAAGTTCCTGAATATCATTTTATCAGTTTTTGTCCACCAAAATTTATAGAATTTTATTTATATAAAAGATGCCTTCAATTACAATTTGTCACATCGTTTCTTCCAGCGCATTCTTGCCCTTTTACAGCTGCAACATTATTGGGTCCACAGCAAACATTGTGTACATTTTGGCTCATTTCAATAAGGACACAAATTTTACTAGCCGGACATGTCAGAAAGCAGTTGCTATTTTGATGGCAGCGCCGGGTTAAAACATATAAATTCGCATTAGAAATGCACGAGTTGATTTGAGTTTCATTTTGGCTGTGAAGCGAGCAAACAATGCCCATTGCACAATGGCAACAAAAACAAAAACTGCAAGGCTGCAACAATAAGCGGGCAAACAAAGTGCAAGGCAAGGTACTTGCAACAACAACATTTACTGCTCCTTCTGTTGTTTTTGTTGCCGTTGAACGTTTTGCCGGCCTGCGAAACATTCATTTCCTTGTCCTGGCATCGAATCCTTGCACCCATTCCCTAATGCCTTTGTCTTGGCCATTTCCACCCAATCTTCCCAAGACTCCTGATGCTGATGTTGCTACTGCAGCTTCGTCTTTTTAAATGCGCGTAAACTACTTACAGGCGCATCCGGAGACTCCTTCTCAGTGAAATACAATGGGTATCAAAAGGATAGCAGTAGTAAGTTCTAAGCTGGTGATTTGTATTAAAGTTAAGAAAATGTTATTACAGGTAAAAGGATTTTTAATTAATTACTTAAGTTAGCTCTTACTTTCTCTTTACTTCACAGTAAAGAAGGAAATCATTAAAGACTTAACTCGATACAATTTCTGTAAACATAATCAAATGGCTATAAATAACTGCCAGAGCTATTAGTTTGAATGCAGCTGTATAATGGCTGTATAAAAGCATATTATATATATATTTCTTGGGTAGTGAACAAAAACAAACTGCCAGCAAACATATTGCGAAAGTGCAAACAGCGAGCATAAGATGCGTTGAAAATCCTTTATCAGTGAAATTATTTGCCCAAGGACAACGGCAACGGCAGTGAGGGCAAAATGAGAATGAAAATGAAAATGATTCTGGCGAAAGGGCCAGCAACTGAGTTGGCCAAAACAAACCGATTCCCCAGATACGCCTCAGACCCATTCGGTTGCCAAATGTGTTGGAAAATTTCTTGCTGCGCGAGAAAAAATCTCCGTGGCCATTCCTGCGCCAAGAAGCGTGCTACACTTTTCTTTAATGGCAGTCTCGGCGCTTTTATGTCATAAAATTTGAGCAAAAGCAAGGGAATATATATATCTACTATATATCTATGTTGGAGGTGGTCTGTTTGCTAGGAAAGGCGTTTTTATGACCAGCATTTTAGAGGCGTGGCTACAGCGAATTCACCTGCATTTCACACAATGCCCTGCATTATTTAAAGGTACCCAACCAGGAATGGAACTAAGAAGGCCAGCAGGCACCGAGCTGGATAGCCGGGTCAACAAGACGGTGGCGAAGGCAACGCGGCGAAATGCAATTAAAGCACCGCTCCGCATCCAGAAAACCTTTCAAAAATCTACTTGCGAAGTTTTCGCATGCATTGGCAGGCAACAAAAACAACAGCATACTGCAAAAAAATGAGATGAAATCAAGTGCTGTACAGAGAGGGAAAATGTGCAGTTGGGATACTTATTATTAGTATTAGTAATACTTTTAACAAATATTAAGATTATATATC